TATAGCTGGTCGGGGCGGCAGAGAAGGGGGAGGCATCGCCACCTGCTCAGAAACTGCCCCCCCAGAGGTGTGGCTCAGGACCCTGGAGGCCCCACAGCAAAGGCCAAAGCAGTGAGAGTCACTGGGCGGTGACAGCAATGCAGAAGGGTCCCTCATGTGGCCCTAGGCGGGGCATGGAAAGGGCTGAGTCTTGACAAGCCCTGTAACTGCACTGGGCCAGCAAATTTGGACTCGGGAATTAGCAGGGCCAAGATAAGAGGAAACTGCATCCAGGGGCGCCTGGGGGGCTCAGTGGGTCCAGTGCCGACTCTGGCTCAGGTCACGATCTCGAGGTTTGTGAGTTCGAGCCCCGCGTCGGGCTCCGTGCTGACAGCTCAGAGACTGCTTAGGATTCTCTCTCTGCCTCTCCCTGCTTGCTCTCTCTCTCTCTCTCTCTCTCTCTCTCTCTGTCTGTCTCTCTGTCTAAAAAAATAAATAAGAAACTGGATCCAGAGCTTGTGTTTTCCCAGATTAAAACACACACACATACACACACACACACACACACACACACACCCCCCACTTCTGGGAGTCGTCCACTGGGTGGGATGCCAGAAGCCAAGTCCTTCTGCCTGTCAGATGACACAGAAAGCAAAGCATGCGGTCGGGCGGCCACCTGGCTTGTCCTCCCCGGCCCTGCACACAGCCGCTAGCGAAAGGGGGAGCAGGGGTGGGACCCCAGAAGGCAGAAGGGCCGGGAGGACCCCAGTGAGGACGAAGGCTCGTTAGGACCCCTCAGAGCGTGAGGAGCCCTCCTGGGGTCAGGGGCAGCGTGGGTTAAGTGTGGACATCCTAGAGGTCGCAGCTGACAGCCAGCGGTCAGTCGACCGAGGGAACGCCGTCAGCTGCGAGCTGTCCCTGTCCGTTAGGCCGACCGCCATGAAGCCAGAGAGCGATGCAGGTTTCCAGGGGCAGGAGTCAAGCTTCATGCGCGATGGTACCTGCAGCTTCTCTGGAGCCCTTGTCCCGAGCCCCTGCTCTGGGCCGAAGAGCTTGACGGGGAGTGAGGGAGAGAGCCAGGAGTCCCCGGAAGCACAGACGTGGGCCCTTGGGGCAGGACCCAGAGCAGGGCCGAGGGCCGAGGGAGCCGGGCTCCTAGAATTCAGTGTTTCAATGGCAGAGAGAAGGTCGTAAGCTCGGCGGCCCCGCAGGCAACAACTCGATGAGGAAATTGGAAGCAATTCTCGCAGGTGAGCGCGGGTGACCAGGAGAGACAGAGTCGGAGGGATGCTCTTCTGTTTATTTCTTTCTCGCACCGGGGGCTGCCTGTCAGAACTTCCAGCAGACGTTGTCGGTCTGCCCAGGACTTGGCATGTCTGCCTGGTGGGGACCTGAGGGGGGCTCCAGTGCCCAGGCCACTCCAGCTCATGGGGGAGCAGGAGGGAGCCAGCCGCGACGGTAGAGCAGGTATTTCTATCACTGGGTGAATTATATCGTCATCAGCGCATGTCAGGGAAAGACCGTCCTGGAGGCTTGCTTGGGTCGCCCGCGCTGTAAGAAAGAAAAATGTTTTCCTCCAGATGAGGAGTCTGGGGTGGGAGCAGGGGACAGCTTCCTCCAGCTGACACAGCCTTTTCCCTTCAGCTTACCGCTTTTATTCCTCTCTCCTGGCTGGTGTGCGTCCCCCCCGCCCCGACCTCCAAACAGCCCTTGTGCCAGGGGGCCCCGTGACCAGCCTGCACACCCGGCGAGCCCGGGGAGGACCCAGCTGAAAGACCCCACCTGCGAGAGTGGGCGTGGCTCCTTCCTCGGCGCCCCCAGCCCTCCTGCCTCCCCTCCCCGCACTGAGAGTTGGGAGAAATGTCCCCCACATCGGGAGAGGAGTGAGTGGGGCTGGGGGTGGCCGGTCAGCCTCCCAAGAGTGGATCCCCAACTCTGGTTTGGCTGGAGGAGACGCCTCGGCCGGGAGGAGCAGGTGTTGTTATTATCCCCGCTTGGCAGGCGGGGAAACTAAGGCTGGAAAAGGTGGGACCGAGGTCCGGGCTCCCACAGAGTCTGGGTGTCATGGTTCTCGTAGCTCTTGGTTTGAACTTTCCTCTCTCCTGTCCTGAGAGTCAGGTTCGCTCTGGTTTATCTAGGGTTGTTGTGTTTTTTTGTTTTGTTTTTTTTTTACAAGGCTGCCAGGCTGGCACATTTGCACTGGGCCTGTAGAAACACATGCAGGTACACACACATACACACACACACACACACACACACACACACACACACACAGACTCAGCTGCCTCCCTAGCTTGACCTGACAGTTCCTGACACATAGTAGGTGCTCAGGAAACCTTTGTGAGGCACACGGGCAGCTTGAGGCCTGTGACATGAATGATCTAAAAGCGGGACCCGGTGGACTTGTCACCATTTGCACCCCCACCCAGGGCCTGGTGGGGTGCCGGCACACGGTAGGCGCTCAGCAGGGAGACGTCTCCATAGGTCCAAGCTGGTGGGGCCAGGGTAGTTACCCGCCCCACACCGAGAGAGGGAGGCCAGTGCCCCTTCGTACCCTCCACCTCCCAGACCTGAACCCCCGCCCCCCCCCCCAGAAACTCTAGAGTCTGCAGGGGTGAGAGCAGCAATTAGTTCTGCAGACTGGAGACCTGCTATGTGTTGCAGGCACCGACTGGGCTGACACCCCAGCTGCCTGCTGGCCCCCGGGGACTGGGGTCGGGGGTGGGGGGGCTTCCTCCTTGCGGCAAACACCCCTCTCGAAGGGGCCAAGCAGCCGGGCCTGGAGGAGCCAGGTGTCACCAGCACCGTCCCGCCATGCTGCCCGGGGCTCGGGAATGGAACATTCTCACATGGACCATGGGATCCCAGCAGGGCCACGGGGGGCGCAGAGGGGAGACTCAGAAGGCAAAGGCAGGTGGCCCAGTCGCATTTCCACCCGTTCAGCAGTCTGTTCTGCTGGCCCGAGCGCTTGCTTGCTGGGCGCCCTGGAAAAGGCTCAAAACCACTCTGGGCCCCCGGGTCTTCCGCTGACAAGGTGGGGGGGGGCAGCGCTGCCAGCTCCCTCCCAGGATCTTTGGGGAGAAAACCATTCTGGAACAATAAGCGTAGGACAGGGACCATACATCACGGAGCCCAGCCACGAGGCCTGGGTTCGAATCCCGACACGCCCCGAACCGAATCACCCGGGACAGACTTCTCAGCCTCGGTACTCTCCCCTGACAACGGAGAGGATACCAGCATCTTTCGCGGGGTGCTAGGAAAGCAGAAATGAGAGGATACCAGTAAAGTGCAGTGCACCACGCCTGGTGTGGAATACCAGAGCCACCTTGTGTTAAGCACTTTCTAGAAGCCAGACAGGTCTTAAGCATTAGCTCATTAAATCCTGACACCAAGCCTAGGCATCGGATGCCACGATTACACCCATATTCCAGAGCCGGCAACTGAGGCTTGGCAAGGCGAGTCCTTTACCCAAGGTCACACAACTAGGAAATGGTGAGCCGGAGGGCGAGCCCGGGGCTGCGTGTCTCCAAAGCCTCGAAGCCCCACCACTGTTAGAGTATGTGCCCGTTTAAGACGTAGAAGGAACCCTCAGGGCTGCCTGGCCATCCCACTCTGCAGCGGCTAAAACTGAGGCCCCGAGAAGGGAAGAGCTGCTGCTGGAACCAGGCGTCCGACCCGCAGGGCTGCTGCTCCAAGTTACCCAGCACTTATTATGTGCCAGCTGTAGACCCCCGACGAGCGGCATCGCACGTAAATTTTGCAATAAACTTAGGAGGAAAGATCCTTTTGTCAGTCCCGTTTTTTGCTTGGGTAAACTGAGGCAGAGAGGGGCAGTCGCTTACTCAAGGTCACACAGCTAATTAACCGGGGAGGTAGGGCTCCTACCCAGTGAGTCAAACTCCAGAGCCGTCGTCCAGTGCCGCCCCGGCCCACCTTGGAGCCCAAGCCAGCCTTGCTCGGCAGCCTGGGTCCCAGGCCGGCTCACCTGCCAAGCAAAGGGGGTCTGCAGGGCCCCCGGGGCGCGGCCACCACCAGGCAGGTGCAGCAGGAGCCCCCCCACTGGGAGAGCGCTGCCTGAGCTGCACTCGGGGAGACGGGCACCAGGCTGGGGCTGGCAAAGCCGGTCTCCCCGAAAACCATTAGCCCCCTGCCTCTGTGACGAGAAGTTTATCCAACAAAATGCAAGCGAGCAAAGAACACGTTCTGCTCTATGTGTCTCTCGTTATAGGCAGCGCACATCTTGGGAGATGTGTGGATGAAAGGCGCCATATAAAATGCAATCAATTATGAATCACCATTACTGAATTAATCACATGTATGATTAATACAGTAATAATAATTAATGGGAGTATGGTCTGGAGATTAGAGCAGGGAACTGGCAGGGAGGAGTCGGGGTGCTTCTTGAAGCCTCTGCCGCTGCCTGGGGGGTGTCACCTTGGGCAAGGCCCTGGGCTTGGGGCTTGGTCTCTCTCCCCCTTCCCACTGCCTTGGCTGTGGAAGTAAGGGGCCCAGGGATGCCTTGAAACCCCTAGATGGTCCTGGGCGAGTTCCCAGGATCTTACTGCTTATAGCTGCATCACAACTGCTCAAGGTCAGGAGGACAAATCAAAACCTTGGTCTGGCATAACAGAGAACGGAGTGAGAGAGGCAGAGGGTGAAACCACGCTGGGGGTGGCCCTGGAGCTTACACTTGACTTTAATCAGTGGTGTGGGCTCATTTCATCCGTCTGTGCTTTTGTCTGTCTGCAGCGGGGTTTGCCTTCTCCCCCAAACCCCAGAGGGCCTGGACCTCAGCTGCTACCTCTCATTGCAAAGCCGGTAGATGGTTTTTGCGTGTGACTTTATAATTTCGTATTACTCGCCCCCGCCATCCACGCATATTTCCTCCCTGAAAGGAGGCAACACAGAGAGAATATGTACGTAGTGAAGCCTGTCATATGTCTTCCCCCCCCCCACCCCCATCTCTCCTTTTCATACTTTGGAATCTTTAGTTTATAGACATCCTAAAAAAAAACCATGGATGGAATCAAATTAAATGCATTGTTCTGCAGATGCCTTTTGGTAGTCGATTTCACATACACAATTCAAATTAAGGCTGCGTAGTGAAGCCAAAACCCCGCCACTGAGGAGGATGGTCGGGCTGCTGGCAAGAGGGGGGCCGCAAGGATTTTTATCTCATTCCATGTTATTTTGGTTGGGGGAGAGATTCATTAACACTTTCCTGCCCCTGGTGCTCAGCTCCTTTTCATTACCCGGGGAAGGTCATTTGTCATAAGGTTCCTTGATGAAGTTTTAAAATGAACATCCCTTGACCACCTGGTCCCTACACGGCCAGCGTCCTGTTTCTTTCCCGTCTTTATTGTTCACTGGAAAGGAACCGGGTCTTCTGGATGCTCCCACCGGCTGGCTGTCAGGACCATCGCAAAGGGACCACCTTCCGGGGCAAATCCTCTGGGTGCTGCAGATGGAGAAACTGAGGCTCAAAGCGGGCAAAATGATGACCCCGGGCCACCCACCCAGTTAGGGGCTGAACAGAGGAAAGCCCGCTACCCTGACTCCGGGCATTGCTTCTTTCTGCCATCCCATAATTTCCAGGGTCTGGAAGTGGGGAGACCAGAAGACACTTTTCCAGATGGGTCCCTGAAAAAGTCTGCTCGCATCAGCTTGTGGGAGAGGCAGGAAGCCCTGGGGAGAGCAGGGCTGGAGAGGGGTTTTAAACATTGTTCCCAGGGGCGCAGAGCTTTGCATAGGGGTCACTGAAACCCTGGAATGGGGGGATAATCGGGAGGATGCACCCCGGGTCCCCCCACTGTGTTTAGATGAGCCACAAATGAGAAGCATCTTCCTCCACATCTTGTTGGCTGTTCCCGACAGTGTCGCGATGATGGAGGAGTAGGGCGTTTCCCCTGTAATTGATGGCCCTGCCTGGGGGCGATAGCAGGCTGAGGGCCGACCGGGGGTCATCACTCACCCTGCCTGCACACAAGCCCCACGCTGTGCCCTTTGCTGCTGCCTGGAGGCCTGGTGCTTAGAAATCAAATCGCTGAGATCTGTTCTCCTCCTCTGAGGAGCTTTCTCCTGCTGGATGCTTTGACGCCAGGGCGCAGGCTAACCAGGGGCTGGCATGGATCTGTTCTCCTGGACGTCTCTGCGGGGGTGAGCCCCTCTCCAGCGAGGGGGATCCGGGAGCAAGTATATGAGTAGGCACTTGGCGGCCTTGTTCTAACCCCTCCCTGGAAAAGGAAGGATTCGCATCTCGCAAACGGGGAAACTGAGGTCCAGGGGCAACCTGTGCTGCGCCCCAAGTTCACCAGTAAGCCAGGCGGTGGCAGAGTACCCCCCGGGGGCCGGAGAGCCCTGCCTCCCAGGCCACAGTCTTCCTTAGCTGTGTGACCTTGGGCAAACGACTCCCCATCTCTAAGCTTCGTCTGTAACTCGGGACTTTGCTAATAGGAGTTAAGTCACGGGTCTGTTGGGAAGGATCAGCGGCTGATACGCACGGACCGGTTTGCACGAAGCCTGGCATAAAACAGGTGTTCAATAAATGCTAAATTATTGTTACTGTTATTATTATTAAAGCAGATGACAGTCTTTAATTCTGCATCATCTGCCTGCTTTGTGACAATAGCCGAAATGTTATTCAGCAGTACAGCCCCTCTGCAAGCGAAGGGGGAAACCGTGAGCGGGGAAGGGTTAAGGTGGAGGTTAAGAGGTGGCAGAGGGGTGGGGCACTGAGGTGCTACATCTTGCTCCTGGTCCTGACACCCTCTGTGACCTTGGACCAGTCCCTCTCCCTCTCTCGTCCTCAGGCTCTTTGTTCTGGATGCGTCCAAATGACAGGGCTGGCTGCTTGAGCATTGCAGTGAGAACCCACCCCGGAGGAGGCCAGGAGCACCTGAAAACCACACGACCCCCCCCCCCCCCGAGGGGGGAGGGGGCTGGCCGCGCAGCCCTGGGAGAGGGCCTGGCCGGAAACCTCCAGGGGGTGGAAGGGCCCAGGGCTGCCCAGTGTTGCCAGCACCTTGGCCTCTGCCCTAGGCCCCTGCCGGAGTCCTCCCCCCACCCTCTTCCCCCCTCCCTCCCCGGGGCTTGCCAGGAGTGAGGCCCCTCCTGCCCCCCTACTCCGCACTCCCTCCGGAGCTGGCTTGGCTTCATCAAAAGCAGGGCCCATCAGGGTGGAGGCGGCGATGTGTCAGCTGGTATTCAGGCTCTGGTTGTGCGCTCCGATCGCTCCCCCTCCCCAGTTCCCCAAATCCACCCACCCACCCTTTTACCCACTGCTTGGGGCCTTCTGGGTGGCGGCGCTTTACAGAGGAAGTCAGAGCAGCAGCCTTGAGCCCTTGGCTGTTGGGGGCGGGTGGACTGACTCACTTGGCCCCCTCCCTGGTGCCGATGGGGCAGCCCCCACACCCCTGGGCGCCGGCACCCCGTCAGGCCCCTGGGTTTGGGAACAGGAAGCTGCAGCCCCGCGGCGCCTGACCCGGGCCGGCCCGAGGATGCGCTCTGCGCGCCGCGACCCGCCGGCCCCCGAGCCCGGAGGAGATGTTTAGGCAGCGACCCCCCAGAGCAGGCTCGCTCCCGCGGCCGCCCGCCCGCTGGGGCCACCCTGGCCGCGGGCCCGCCGGGCCGCCCCTGCTGGCGGCGCCCCTCCCCGGGCCGTGGCGCGTCCCCCGAGCCTCGCAGTATTTCCTTCCTGCACCTTTAAGAAGACCGTTGCTCCGTGGTGGGATGGTGTGTTAAAGCCACACAGAGGAAGTTACGCAGCCCGGATCAGACCCAGAGATAAAAGCCCCGATGGTGATCGTGAGGGATGGCAAGAGGATTTAGCCTCGGCATTAACTTGGAGCGGAGCGCAGGGGGGCGGTGAAGCGCCCCGCCATCTGGCCCGCGCCGCCGCCGCCGCCGCCGCCGCCGGGGGGGATATGCCCCGGCGCCCCGACGACCAGCCGCGAAGCCCACCCGGGCCGGGGGCCGCCCGGTGTCCGCGCGCCGGTCCTCTCCGAGCCGCCCAGGGGGCCCCAAAAGTTTGCACTTGTT